TAAAAAGTAATTTCTTTCAGTTATTTACTACTTACACCAACATTGCCCTCGTTAAAAACAGTTTTTGGAGGAGACATAAAAAAAATAAATCTTTTACTTAAGTTTCACGTCCTTTATTCAAGCACTGCAATTGTTCTATTTTTTATTTCTCTATTCAATATGCAAGCCTACGAACAAAAACAAAGCTTCTGAAGCTCTAATTGACATTACATGTTATAATCATGCTGTTTATCGTTTGATCTGCCGTTTCATTAGTTGTTCAGTCTGTATTTATGAGGCATATTAGTCTTGAATAAAGTAAACAAAAACAGCTGGCCAGATAAAAGATTTAATGATAAATGGAAGGAAACGATGCAGGGGAAAAAAATAAAATATAGGCCATGACCTGTCAATCTAAGAGTTGGAACATGAGTATTATTTTGTTTAATTAATAACAATAAACTCAGCCACTTCACATAATTACACTATTTATTTCAGCTATTTTAAATTGTGAAAAACAGAGCAAAGTTTTAAGATGCAGTGATTAAAAAGCAGTTATGATTAACATTAAATTTATTGAAAGTAGCACCTGGTATTTAATGTCAGTTTGATCTTTCTTTTTTTATATTAATGGTCAGACAAAATTTAGGATCCGGTTACAGAATTCTATCATCTTCACCCTATTTCACTCAAGCTTCATTACCTAAAAGGTTATAGGCACTAAAACTGATACCAAGAAGAGTCACGATTTGCTTAGAATAGGTCAAACTTCACACTTTGGAGAATAATTATTTGAATAAATGTAAAATTTTCACTTTCTGTTATCTTTTGTGAAGGCAAAACTAAAACAGGAGACAAAAAAAGAATGAATAAACTGTTACATCTGACAGAATCCCCTGCATTACTGTAGCTTTGCTATAGCGTGGGCTATCTTGTGTTACCATTTTTACATTATTCTCTTAGCACCATTATCATGCATTAGCACTTCAGCAAACTCTGTCTCTTGAAATTCATCACCGCCCCTGGCAAAACTGCACGGCTTTTCTTCAGAGCAGTATTCCCTTTTTTAGCTTCAGTCATGTCTGAAACAGAGAACAACAAATTCTGCAGATGGAGGCATTGCTAGTCAGTAGGCTACAAAACACTGGATGAGTAATGATGGTTTATATGAGCAAGAGTAGAGTTTGCAAGTTGAAGAACATGAATCTCTGCACAGGTGTCCTCTGAAAAGAAAATAGGAGTCGGGTCACAAGGAAACAGGGAATGCTGTTAAATCCTTGACTATTACTAGGTGATGCAGATAGAAAGCTGTACTTTTTACAACTTAACTTGCTTTTTTTTCACAGAAAATTATCTATCAAATGAATATGCCTCTAGATGTAATTATAACTGATAATTTGGAATGAAAGCAATTTATAGTTATTCAGCATCATTTTTTGGTAACCAATTTATATGTTGACTAAACCATATAAAAACACCCATGAGGTAGAACTGCCTCTTTTCTGATTTGACATTAGTTAAAGTATGCTTATTTTTTATTTATTCCCAACAGCTAAGAAAGAATGAATCTCTTAACACATTTTACAAAAAATGACTCACATAGATTCTGTTTTAGAAAACTGATTCTATAGGAAAAAATAAATCTCTTCACAAAGAACAACCCTCTACGTTTGTCTAAAGCTTAATTTAGTCCCACATGTGCTTCTGTCAGCACAAATCAGGACAATGATCCTGTATCCAGAGCTACAATAGAATAGCTTAGATAAATGTTTGGATCCATATGTTATTATGGCCCAATAAATAAGCAAAAATTTAATATAAGTGAACATCCGTGGCAAGTCGATAGTTCAAGAATGGTCAGTTCATGGAGTGTCTCCAATCATTGCTGTTTATGAATGGTGTTCATCCAGTTTGACTAAGCTTGTACTACCTTCTGGATGTTCGAAATTTATAGAGACACACATCAAAATAATTGCATCTGTTCTTGCAGCAAAAGGCAGCTCTACAAAGTACTCAATACAAAAGCAATTTTATGTGTAAAAAAATAAATAAAAATAATAAAATCAAATCCATGTTACTTTATGATCTCATTACACAATTCTGTACCATTTCTGTTGTTTTGTCACACAAAATCTCCAAACCGACATAGAAGTCTATGTTTGTAGAGTGACAAAATTTGAGAGGACCCAAGAGGTATAAGACCCAGCAGCTATAAATAGAAAGAGACCTGTAGATCAAGATGTTGAAGGGTGAAAAAGAGGCAGAGAGATGAAGAGATTTAAAAAGGCTCAGATAGACGTCGACTTCAGTGATTCAGTCAGTCAACGCCCACAGAGCATGCCCATTCTCATGAAAACAATGATTCTGACTCAGCTCACCAAGAGCACAACATGACATTTCACTGTAAACTCTGGGATGTCTTAGAACTCCTACGCAAACACAACAAATTAATGAAAAAAAATATTGATCACATTACAAGGAAAATTATGTAATGATGTTATATGACAACTTGTTAACTGCTTCTGGCCAGTAGGTTGTCTCGATGACATTTAAACTCGATTCCTGGGATTCAATACATTCACACACTGAAAATGATGAAAACGTACTTTATGACCCCTGAAATCCATTTGAGGGAAATTAGGTCAAAACATAATGACAATTTCTGTGGATACAGAGGGACACACTGAGAAAAAAACAAAAACAAATGATAATTATAAAATATTACACATTTTCAGAAACTACTGTGAACAAATAATCAGTGAAACGGTGATCCCATAATCACATTAGTGATAAAAATCCCATTACCTTCTCATTATACATCAGCCTCTTTTCTCTCCTCAAGTGTCTTTCAGAAGAAGCATCAAAGATGATGGGAAAATGAAGAAGCCATTTCCCCTTTAAGCACGCAGCTCTACAACACCTCACCTGACCCATACCCCCATATAACCTTCCAGTACCCACAATACAAGAAATGCACACAGTCTATAAATCATCACTATTCATCCCAGCATCCACTTAGGAACTAGGTACTAAAATCTACTTATTTGGTTTATCCTGTATTCCAACTATTTTAAGATATAAAATACAAAAATGAGACATCCAAGTTGAAAGGTCCTTGATGTCTAAATTGTTTGTGATTCAGAAACAGCGGATCATCTTAAAGCATCACTAATTAACCACAAAGACTGAAATCTCAATGTAATCTCACAAAAAATGGGCAGAAGATGTTTGTGGTTTGGTTAAAAGAGATAAACAGAAAATTGCATTGTTTGTATGTAAACTTATTATACAAGAAGAGCATAGAAATAAACAAGAATTGTGTGGGGTTTTATAGTTCAAAGATATTTTTTTTCTCTAGCATAGGGTCTGAAATTTACTTTTGCAATGTGGGTGAAGAAACCTAAGCATGCCAGATAATCTTATTCAATAAGATTGTAGCATTATGATGATAACTTTTCTTTCACTGTACAGTGAACTTTAATACTAAACTTTTAAGACTAAAATAACTCTGCACTGATCAATTGGAAATAAATTTAAGAAATTAACAAAAAAAAAACAACACTTTTTGTCAAATCTTGGGTAAATACTTTAAGGATTTAAGAGGAGCACATTTTACGACTGACACAAATTGGACACAAATGTCCAATCTGTTATTAATCACTATGGCAACTGCTTAGAAAGGGATCAGGTAATTAAAACACCCAAGAAAAACATTCATATAATAAATAAGATAATATGAGCAAAAATTAATTATTCAGGGCTGTTTGTTGGAAAATCCTCTTTAGGTGAAAAGGGTAGAGGAGAGAATGCTGGATCCGTTTTTATTCTTAAAACGCATAAGTCTGTTCACTGGTGTTTGTAGCACTCAGGCAGCTCCACAGAGATGCATGCAAATTAACTTAAGTCTCCAGAAAAGCAACAAGGGATGTGGAAACCAAACAACTTACTGTCAAGTACTGAGTATGTGAAAGTTTACATGCCACTGAGAGTACCTCTTCTACCTTAGCATCTTCACCTATCCCGATAATTATGTTTCTGTTGGGTATCAAAAAACTGTGACACATCAATTTGAATTAATTAGAATAGCCTAAGAAAAACAACAGGAAGAGAGGTTTAAGTTCTCTGAATAAAATGTAACCTTGTTTATTTCCAATGCCCAATGGAATATGAATCAGCATCTCCAAGAAGCATGCTAGCACAGAAAAAGCATGGAGTGTTTTAACATTTTCTGGTAGATAATCTTTGACTTGATAACATGCAGTGGACCAACATCAGATGATGACATGGCAACCCAAATCACCACTGACTGTGGAAACTTCACACTGTATCTGAAATTCTATGCCTCTCTGCTCTTCCTCCAGATGCTGGGAGCTTGATTTCAAAATTAACTTTTATTTGAACAAAAGTAGCAATCATGTTTCTCCTTATCACTGGCGAGATGCTTTCAAAATGGTTTCCAGAAATTGCTGAAAACCAGGACTGCAACAGTGGTAGTTCATGTTTGTGTGTGTTTACTCCTAAAGCACTAACTCCAGCTACAATCAAAACCTCCCCAAACACTTGGTTGTGTATCTTTTTTTTTTTTTATCTTTTTATCCTTCCACTCAATTTTCCATTATTACGTTTGTCTACAGTTCTCTCAGCGTCAGTGTGCAGGGTATCAATGAAAGTTTGCTGTAAAACTGTTGAATTGTTTTGATGGTGCAGTGCATAACAATTTTGTATAACGAGTACCTTTTTCATCTTTTGCACATTTTAATTTTTTAAGGGAGAAATTTTTGGGTTCTTGTAGCTGTAAGCCAAACGCATCCGAATATTTCAAACATGTCACTCTGTGTAACAATCCCATTGAAATAACAGTTCCACAGTTTGAACTGAATTACTGAAATGAATTATGAATTAACTTCTTAATTGATATGCACCTATGCTGCTGGGTGTGCATATAAGACAGATTACTTTCACACAGAGCATTCACTGTACAACTACCTAGAAAAAAGTATCTTGGTATGAGAAAAACTTACATTGCCTTGGTTGATGAAACCATGCTCTCTGGCGATGCGGTCAGCCTCCCTAGGACCTCCATTGATCTGGACAGCCCATGTGTTGGTGAAAATCTCGGCAGCATCAATCCACTTCAACTCGGCTGTCAGAAGGACAAGACTTGTCCACACAATCGGCAGAGCCACCCGGGCATCCATTAAAAGGAGAACTCTTCACAGGGTGGTCTGTGTGCTGGTCTGAAGCTGCTTCCCAGGCAGAGTTGGGCTGCTCTACCTTACAGCAGCAAAGTAGAGCAGTGGCCTAGAGATGGGAGGACAGAGGAAGCTATAAACAAAAACATGGCCTTCTAAACTGGGTCAGTCTTGGGCAGTAAAATAATCCTGCAGATGACAATGAGACCCAAGCAAAGACTAACTGGGGATCACCCACACATCTTATTATTCACCTTATGAAGCTTCATGTCCACTGTAAGACTATGAGAAAAATTTTCATAAATATGCAAAATATTAATATTAGATTAGAACAGAAAAATAATCTGCCACAACCCAAAATTATTTCTCTATTTCACTTTATGTTCCAGAGACATGAAATGGTAATGTATGATAATCATATACAGTAAGCATCTTGCTGCAGTACAGCAGCAGCGCCAAGCAAACTCATACTGCTAATGGCAAAAAAAAAAAAAAAAGACAAAGAACTTCCAGGCGAAAATGTATTTAAATATTCAGTCAGACACTGTTCTTCAATTTTGAATATTCTGGAATATTGCTTATTAGTTTTGGTAAGGTCATGTTCAACATTTTCTAACCTAACAATAAAATAAAATGTCAGATTTAAAAAAGGAACCAATATTTGAGCAGAAGTTCAAACAAAAAGATGTTCAGCTTTGACGACTCTGCTGTCATTTGAATTGCCTCTCTCTGGGTCAGATAAAAGAAGTCCCTAAAGAAAGACTAAGTTGGGGAAATTCCTGTACAAAGAGAGGTTGTGAATATCTGCAAAACAAATCATGTCAATATTAAAAAATGTGCGACAGTGCAAAACATTCCAGATGCCTTCAAAAAGCATCATTATGCCAGCAAATTCGTCAAGCTGCAGGCTTACAGCACTTCCACAACACATTGGCGAATTAGTTATTTATTTTTCACAAACATGCAGGACTGACCTACACCCACAATAACTGCTCTCGTCCAGGTGCCTTGTAAATATCCTTGACAGACTGACAGCTACACACTCTGATGAATATCCTGTGCATTAATTTGTTTATTTAAGTATCTCTGGTTAAGTCTGCTTAGCCTGAATGCCTGTGAATACGTCTCTCTTACAAGTACAATCTTAATTGCTAGTAATTCATGTTTAGTCAACTGGCTAGCAATATGTCTGAAAGATTTTTTGTCTTTTAATTCAAAAGAATCATTACATGCCTGAAACCTTGAATTTAAAAGTAGCTCTTGGCAAGAGTCTTCTGTAGAAAAGTCTACCTTTTTCTGCATAGAGCCTAAAAACACATTTTCCACAGTTGTTTTCTGATTTTCTGACCAGACCATCACAAAAGCCAACCACATCAGTGCAGTAAGCTGCATTTATTTGAAATACATGTTTTTGAATGCATATGTTTTGCTAATTGTTTACTGTTTGTGAAAGTTTCCTTTCAACTTCACTCTACTTCTCCGATGAGCTCAGCATTTTTGGATGGAAGGAGGGATATGTGCTTCTTTCCTACATTATGAATTCTTGATTTCTGTGAGCGGATCAGGAAAAAAGTGTTTGTCTTTCAGCTCTCATGAGAGATAAACTTTCCCCTCACTGTTAAATCATTTTGATCTCATCAGCTGGCTGTGCAGGGAAGAAAATATTGTCTTCCTCTATGGAGAAAAGCAATATTTGAGCCGTTTTAAGCATTTGAGGCATCAAAGAACGTATGTCATGCAAAACTGCAAGACGTATGATTCACATCTGCATGGAATAAACCAATTGCATTTACCCATGGACCAAATGTCTCACATCTGCTACTACTACTAATAATGATAGATTTTATTTAAAAACAAAAAATGATTGTAAAAAGTACACCTGTGTGAGTTAAGAAGAATGGGTTAATCAAAAAAGCTAGTTTTTGGATCAGATTAAATTTTACCAATTGCTAAGAAAGTTGCTGTAGCCTTTTTGCAGAGGCAAATATGACCATTCACAAGTGGGCACCAGCTTGTTCAAGCTCAAATAGTTCTCCTCAGAAGAAAAAAAGTTAAACTAATTTATATCTCAGCAGTTTAATTAAACTGAGCTAGTAAGTACACAATCATTTGTGTAGTTTTCCACATCTTCCACCATAGTACATCTGTTCGAAATATTAGTTTCTTTAGATTGCCTTCTGGCTCCCTGTTTTTTGCTGATTCTTTGTTATGTACCAAGATGCAGAGAAAAGAGCAGGATATGCGATTTTTGGTGGGAGCGTGAAATGAACTAAACACAAATCAATACACCAAGTTTGCTTTTACTCTCCTTTTTGAACTTATGTGCATTGGAGGACGTGCAAAAAACCCAACATATTTTATTTCATGTTTCAGACATTTATTGTATATATTATAATCATACATTAAATGGAAATGTATGATTATAATATACATCATACCCCAAGAGTTCCAAGCAAATTCATGATACTAATGTCAAAAGGAATACAAAGGACCTCCAGATAGAGGTGCACCAATGTATCAATGCTGAAATTAAATAGTTCTTCATGTAGCACTATCTGATCATTTTAGATGTCAGCACTGCTGGTAGTAGAAAAAGAATCATATGCAGCACCCTCCATACTTTTTGCCACACTGGAAATAAAGATCTATAGAAAGACTTAAAATAAATTCATTTTTCTGAATGATATTTATTTAACACAGTTATAAATGACAGTGTTAGAAAAACAATTAGAAAAATAACACAAAATTCTTTACCTAGCCTTGTTTATTAAAATTGACTTATGAGAGGGTGATTAGCCTTTGTCTGTTTTATTTTCTAATTTATTCATGTTTTCTCTTTGGGTTTATTTCAAATGCAAATGACACAAAGACTGAAAAGAAAAGAAAAAAGAAAAGAAAGGGAGAGTTGTGGGGTAAAACTGTAAAAGAGAGAGAGGAATAGAAGAGGGGAAGAAGAGTAGAGGGAGAACACAAAGACAAAAGGAATCTGGTTGTACAGTCAGGAAAGAAAAAACTATTAAACTGAGAAACCACGGTGACAAACATGTATACATATGATAATAATGTCACTGTAAAGCACAAAGTAATAATTAAAACAAGATGTCCTTGAACACCTTAATTCATGCCCGAGTGAACATCATTGTCTGTTTCAGCGTAACACCCATCTGCCTTTCTCTCATCTTTCCTGCCACTGTTTAGATGAGTAGCAAAGCTCATTTTTAACCCAGGGAAATAAGAAGTCATAAATGGTAAATGGCTTGTAATGTATAGTGCTTTATCAATTCCAGCGGACCACAAAGTGCTTCATACAACATTCACCTTTTCATGCACACATTCACACGCTCATAGATAACAAATCTAAAACACTGTAAAAAAAGACTTTGGTTACCTTCATTTAGCATTTATTTAGCAAGAACTATTGGATATACAATTAATTATGCCACTGGAGAGTTTGAAGAAAGCTAGGAAAAAAAATCCTCACCTAGAATAAAAGCGTGTATATATAAGTATATATATAGTTATATAACTATATATATAACTATATAATTATATATATTTAGTTATATATATATATATTTATATATATATATATATATATATATTATATATATATATATATATATATATATAGATTTATATATATATATATATATAGATTTATATTTATATATATATATATATATATATATATATATATATATAGAGAGAGAGAGAGAGAGAGAGAGAGAGAGAGAGAGAGAGAGACATTTAATCAAGGGCAGAAATACATTGCTTGAATTAAGAAATTTTTTATTTATATTTGAGTGAGAAAAATATTATTTTTGAAAAATGTTGGTGGTTTATATCAAACAGTAGACCAGACTTTGCTGGGGAATTCTTTGTACTGTACCTAGGTTCAAGGTTTATCAGGTTTCTTTTGAAACAGCTCCTTTTACTTCAGCACTGTCACAAAATGAACAAGGACCTATCACAGTGAGCAGTGACTTTTTCATGTTTCATTTTATTATCTGGACCAACTTTTCTTTTTCTTTATTTTTGTTAATATTCACTTCAGATATCCATCCGGATAGATATCCATTGGAGGAAACACATCTTAGCTGCATGTATTCAAGATCTCATTTTTCAGCTCAGTAAATTATTTAGTAAGTTTAATATTTTGCCAAATGGCTCAGCTCTTCCTTAACCTTGACATCTTGAGTAGAGAAATGTTGGTATTACTGCACACAAAGCTACAAGCTATCTTTCCATCTCTCACTTCATCCTACAGTCATGCATAAGATAATCAAATGTCTCTCCATGAGGAAGACACTGCCGCCCAACCTGAAGGGAATGGGACCATCCTTTTCCAGTTAAGAGGCTTCACACATAAAGCATCACCACCTCAGACTTACTACTCAAGTAGTACAGCCGAGTGCACAGTGAAGGTCAATGCTTCACACAACATCTCCAAAAGACAAAGAAAAGGGCCTGAAGTTTTTAAATCAGACACCCTCCTTTCCACAAAAGGTTCATGGACTGCTTGAGATGCAGTCCACCAACTGCATCTCACACAGAACCAGAGACAAGGGACAGCCATGAGAGTGACCAGCCACGCTGAAAAGAAGATCAAAATTGTCCAAAGAATGTGGACCCAAAGCTCTTTTTTGCTTTGGGCCTAAAAATATTGGAAAGCTCTTAAAAGCTACTCCATATTCCTGCAGCAGCATCCACAAAATTAGCTTAAGAGACATGGCGATAAGGGTTCTTGAAATCCACAAAACACACACATAACAGTCAACCAAACGAATGACCCTCTCCGCTACTGTAACAGGAAAATTCTAGTCAATCGTTCCATGACAATGCTCTTCCTAAATCTGGCAGAGTCTCCTTTCCAACAGAATTAGAGAAAACTTCCCCAGGAGTTCCTGAGTATTGTAATTCTGTGATTACTGAAACACAGTCTTGTCAACCTTCCTTAAATATTGGGACTGCCACTTCATGTTACTTCCAGTACTGTATACAAGAAGTATGTCAGCCAGTGATGCAGTCCAAAAAATGTATTTCACTTAGCTGATCGGTGTATAGCAGTATATATAGGATCCTCCTAACAATGAACATACCCTCTTCTCC